CTGTCTCTGATCTTGACTTTGAGCTGCTTCTGTATACTCCTCAATAACTCCCTGTCTCGATCCCTAAAGGCTCTTTTTTTTCTTGTTTAACAGTTCCTTTAGCTCACTGGTGATCCAGGGTTTGTTATTAGGGAAGCATCCCACTGTTCTGCTGGGGATGTGGTTGTCCACACAGAAGTTTATATTGTCAGGCACACACTCCGTCATGGCATTTCTGTCATCTCCATGTGGCTGGCAAAGAGCAATCCAATCTGTAGCTTCAAAACAGGGCTTCTTCAGCTTCCTGTGACCACTTTCTCACAGTTCTTGTAGTTACAGGTTGTCTCTGAACAAGTGGTTTATTTTCTGAGCATAGATAAACAATGTTGTGATCTGAATTACCCAGAGGAGATCTTGCATTGGCGATGTATTAATCCTTAAAGGGGCAATATCATGTAAAATCAACTTTTTTGAGTTTTATATCATGTTATAATGTTTTACTCTCATAAAAAACATGCCTAAAGCCTTGCTTTGACTCATTCATCATGTTTGAGAAATCCTGCAGCGTTTTAGGCAGCCATGCTGAGGAAGAAAACAACAGGTGGGGACCAAAAATGCCTTTGGGGACCAGAAATGCCTCTGGGACGCATATTTAAGCCGAGCTTCCTCATGGCAGAGCCCCCACACACACCCAACCCATGATTCCTGCAGGCTCTCGGCAGGGTGAAACTGAAAGTGAAACCTAACTGTCTGCTGAGCTCCTAACATTACTTCTCAGTCAGTGAAGCTCTTTTCAGCTTCAAAATACCTTTGAGGAAATGTATTTTTAGATGTCAAGTAAACTGCATCATTGCAAATGTTGGCAGTGTAGCAGAGAGTGAGGCATGATTAAAATGACCAGATATGTGCTCATGTGTGCAATGGGAAAAATGCAGAGGATGAATTTCCCTACTGAGGGACAATAAGGGTTAATAAAATAAAAATATTTTGCACAATGTCCCGGGTTGTATACATATTTACAAAAACTTGGAGCTGTGAATAAAGAGCTTTAAATCTTAATCATCTTCACCTGTACAAGTGCCCTCCTGCACAGTCCGGCTTTGACCAGAGACTTGGCGACCCAACGTGCAGCATAAGCCCCGGACCGATCCACTTTGGAGTAGTCCTTCCCAGAGAAAGCCCCGCCTCCGTGGCCACCCCAACCTCCATAGGTGTCCACTATAATTTTACGTCCTGTGAGTCCTGCGTCCCCCTGTTTGTACAAAAGCAACAAGTGTTCCGTGTCTTAATAAAGTCACTTCTCTTTCGGTGGTTGAGTTTTTTTTCTAACCTGTGGGCCTCCCATGAGAAACTTGCCACTTGGCAGCAGATGGTAGATGGTTTTGTTATCCAAATATTCAGCGGGAATTACAACCTTCACCACCTTCTCCATTAGGTTGTGTCTGATTACGTCCAGGGTGATGTCCGGGCAGTGCTGTACTGAAATGACCACAGTGTGGACACGCAGCGGCTCCATAGCTCCCATGTTGTCTCGATACTCCACTGTGACCTACAGAACACAGACAAAAATGGCTGCATTTGAATCACTTTACGGTACTGATAGTACAAACAGAATAATAAAAATATGTATACAGTAATAATAACAATAATAATGAAGGGACTTTATGGATAATGTTAATAAAAGTATAATGTAATGATTTATAAATCTCATAAAATCATATTTAATCCACAATGAAACAAAGTAAACAAAATGTTGGAACTTCAGCAGCTGGTGTTCTTGGTTCCTAGATGTTTATAAAGAGTTAGTAAAAGAAGGGGAGATAATTCACAATGGCAACATGGCCATGTCTCATTTTTGTCAAAATGGCTAGAACTCCGTCTGTTTTACAGATACTGAGCTAAAAGTTTGTGTGATAGTAGCTGAGACTCATTCCCACCACATACTTTGAGAAAACACTGTGCATCATATTTGCTTAAAACTTTGGCATTAGTTAAATGGAACATATGCAAAAGCCACCTTTTTAGCCTTTAAATATTTTTGTTGTGTACTTGAAATGTCTAGGAGTGCATAAAGTTTTAATTTAGTTTGTATTCTGTTTGGGTCATATTTTTCAATCTGTTCAGTTTTCTCTATTCCCCATTACGTTTTCTGAATAATTTGCTGTGGGACTGCTAAACAATGTCATGAAGTTCTTCAGTTTCTGCAATGCTAGTCATATCTCTGCCATTAAACTACAAAAATGGCAGAATGGGGTGGAGTGGACATTGACCATTGGGAGTGTGAACTGGAGGGGGGCAGGGCGTGGCTTCCATATACATTTAAAGAGACTGCACCGAAATGAGTTGTTCTCAGACCCACCATGAAAGAGGGGCTTGTGGAGCTACAATAACAAGAAATTCAGACCAAAGCATTGTAGTTCCATTTTAAATAGACTACAGATGAATGTATTAAATGTGAAAAGGAAGGATTTAAAGCATGATATGTCTCCTTCAATACTATCAATACATAGCTATGTGTCTTAAAATTATCTCATAAACTATTGTACAGATTTTAATATAGCTTTCAGAATCAGTTGCTGCATGTACATTTACAACTGACTGATTGTGTTAACACGAATCAAGGTGTGAGCCACAGCTAATTTACAGGACCTTTGCCAAAACTAAAATGGATAGAACTTCTCAAATTTATTGGTATTAAAGTAAAACTTATATGGAGAGCATAGTCCTCCTACGAAAATCAGTGTAGTTTGGAATTATTTACATTTTAAACAACGTTCCATTTTTTTCTGGAATGGGATTGTAAAATCCAAACGTCTTTTAAGATATTTCAAATTTTCAGAGTTTAACTCACCTGTGATTTACAATCTGGAAGTATCCAAGGACATTCTCCATTTTGTGACAGTTCCTTTATCCTGAAGTTGAGTTTATGAGCCAGTAGGAGGGTTAACGGCATGCACTCTTCAGTCTCATCTGTGGCATATCCAAACATTAAGCCCTGAGGAGAAAAGAAACCAAGTTTAAATGAAAAACCAGGCTTAAGATCATGAGTATTTAAGTTCAAGTTCAAGTTCAAGTTCATTTCTATAGCGCCAAGTCACAGCATCCGTTGTCTCGGGACACTGTAGATAAAAAGAACAATGTAAAGAAGAAAGCAGCAGATTGTGTTGAATCACTTCATCACAGTCTCCCATCCTGAGCAAACGGTGGAGAGGAAAAACTCCCTGCTAATCAGGAAGAAACCTCCAGCAGAACCAGGCTCAGGACAGGAGACCATCTGCCTCGACCGGCTGGAGTTCAGCTCAGATTATTGAAACAGATTGTTTTTATAATTACAGAAGAACTGAACTGAAGTTCAGATCTAAAGATTCAGATCAGACAGGTTTAAAACTGTTTTCTCTGTTTTTAATGCGACACTGATCAGTGT